CATTATTTTGTACACCTGAAACTAATATTATGTTGTATGTCAATTCTACCCCATCTAACAACTGTCAGTGTTCTCTGTATCTATGAATCTGTTTCTACTTCACTTGTTTATTTCTTTTGTGATTTTTAGATTCCTCATATAAGTGAAATCATAGGGCACTTGTCTTTCTTTGTCTGACTTACTTCACTTAATACAATACCCTCTAGGTTCATCCATGTTGTTGCAAATGGTAAGATTTTATTCCTTTTTATGGCTGAGTAAAATTCTATTGTGTAATTGTACCACATTTTCTTTATCTAATCATTTATTGATGGACACTTCAGATGCTTCCGTATCTTGGCTATTATAAATAATGCTGCAATTAACATAGAGATGCATATATCTTTTCAAATTGGTGTTTTGGATTTCTTTGGATAAATACCCAGAAGTGAGATTCCTGGGTCATATGGTAGTTCTATTTTTAATTTTGGGGGGTCTTCCACACTGTTTTCCATAGTGGCTGCATTGATTTACGACCCCACCAATGAGTAAATCTTTATGACATTGGATTGGATGATGGTTTGTTAAATATGACATCTAAAGCACAAGCTACCAAAGAATAAAACAGACAAATTGGACTTCATCAAAATAAAAAACTTTGTGCTGCAAAATTATACAAACATGAAAGTGAAAGAACAATCCACAGAATCAGAGAAAATATTTGCAAATCATATATTTGATAAGGGTCTATTATACAGAATATAAAAAGAACACTAACAGCCCTGGCTGGCATAGCTCAGTGGATTGAGCATGGGCTGCGAACCAAAGCATCACAGGTTCGATTCCCAGTCAGGGCACATGCCTGGGTTGCAGGCCATGACCCCCAGCAACTGCACATTGATGTTTCTCTCTCTCTCTTTCTCCCTCCCTTCTCTCTCTAAAAATAAATAAATAAAATCTTTTAAAAAAGAACACTAACAACTGATTAATAAAAAGATAAATAAACTACTTTTAAAATGGGCAAATTTCTCCCAAGAAGATAAAACAAATGTCCAATATGCATTGTTCTTGGTTCACCTTTATTCGGTGATGTCCTGGTAAATATTTAATAATCAGCTTTCTGAAAAATAGTTTGATTCATAGCCATTGCCAATTTCTATGACATAAATACTCTCACGATGGTTGATTTCAAACTACCAACATGACATTACCGAAAGTAAAGTTGAAAAGAGTTGCTTGCAACCAACTTTTCTAAACATATTAGTCAGTGGAAGTCTCCACTGAACAAAATCATTTTGCATTGACTACAATACTAATAAAAATTCTAGTAATATAATGGAAATGTAATATAAATGTAAAAATAAACTTCCAAAATTATTGGTTATTAACTTTGACATGCTACAAACTGGTATTGAGGTTAATGGCAAAGACCAAACAAAATAAAAATAGAATATATAAAATATATGATCTTCAGCCCCGGCTGGCATGGTTCAGTGGATTGAGTGCCAGCCTGCAAACCAAAGAGTCACTGATTCGACTCCCAGTCAGGGCACATGCCTGGGTTGTGGACCAGGTCCCCAGTAGGGGTTGTGCAAGAGGAAGATGTTTCTCCCTCTTTCTCCCCTTTGTCTAAAAATTAATAAATGAAATCTTAAAAAAAGAATATATGATCTTCAAATGCATTTTAGATGCATCCACTTCAACTTTAACTTTACTGTCCTTTTCTACTGAATCTCAATATAAAAGCATATATTGATTAGAAAGCAAATATTAATTAGATTTCCCTCTTTTGTGAACTTTTTCTTGCTGTTAAAATAATTTTCTTTTTTAGCGCTGGCTGGCATAGTGGATTGAGCACAATCAGTGATTGAGCCAATCAGTGGATTGAGCACAGGTTGCAAACCAAAGCATCTCAGGCTCGATTCCCAGTCAGGGCACATGCGTGGGTTGCAGGCCACGGCCCCCAGCAACCGCACATTGATGTTTCTCTCTCTCTCTCTTTCTCCCTCCCTTCTCTCTCTAAAAATAAATAAATAAAATCTTTAAAATAATTTTCTTTTTTAAGTTTAAAATTTTTATTTATATTTTAAATGTATTTTTCAATTACAGTTGACATACAATATTAGTTTCATGTGTCCAACATAGTGATTAGACATTCGTATACCTTACATAGTGATTACTCCAAACACTTTCTTAATCTTAAAACATGTCATATATTGTCTTACCATCCCATAATTGAACTATTCTTGCGTTGGACATGTAGTAACTTTTGGATTGTTCACAAATGTGTCTCTTCTCTTTCCTGGCACTTGATGGGATTGCACCACCATGTACTCTTGGAAGAAAGGGATGGCCATGGGATTGGCTTTGGTCAATGAGTTCTGAGCAGAAATCTGTATCAGCCGCAGTGAGGCTTTCCATGTCTGCACAGAATTCACTGTATTTCCTCTTCCTCTAAAGGGGTTGTGGAAGCTTTTATCAGTCAAGTTTCTAAGTAGCTTGACTCAGCAGAACTTGGAGGGCTCATTTGCATCAGAAATGAGGTATGAGGGGCACATTTTTGTTGGGCCAAGCCAGTGAGACTGGAGGAGGGGGAGGGAGAAGGTTATGGTTCTTGTAACACAAGCTAGTCCACCTTGACTATTACAATACTAATTAAATCTTATTCAAACATTCGATAAGATAATGTCCAAAATATATATGTTTCCTTTTTTCATTTTGAGTTTAAGGAAGAAGCAGTGTGTTCTATATTTTGACAAGTATACATATGTGTAGAACTCATGGGCATGGGGTAAAAACTATACTTATTCTTCCAAATTCCTAGCCCAATATCTGGGCATCTATGTTACATGGCATTTTTCCAGAGTATACTTCTACTAGTATGACCTTAGCATAGTATGAGTAAACTGAAAAGAAGCAACTCTGTTTCAACCCCAGGAAGAAATTAGAGAAAGTAAAAACTTGGGAGAACCCTGGCTGGTGTGGCTCAGTGGATTGAACGACAGCCTACAAACCAAAGGGTTGCTGTTTTGATTCCCAGTCTGGGAACATGCCTGCGTTGCAGGTCAGATCCCCAGTAGCGGGTGTGTGAAAGGCAACCACACACTGATGTTTCTCTCCCTCTCTTTCTCCTCCCTCCCTCTCTCTCTAAAAATAAATAAAATATTTTTTAAAAACTTGCGGGAGAATCTCATAGGATGAATAAAAGGGAGAATGCAGACATGAACAAGTTTTTGAAACTTTCTAAAAGCACCTTAGTTTTTTATTCCATTGGTCAAAATTACATGTGTGTGTGTGTCTATGCATTATATACATGCATGTATGCATGACACATATTAGACCTTTAATTTATATTTGGTCCCTAACATATATGAGTATTAATTTATTTGATCACAATCCACTTTAATTTTGAACTCCAGTTTCTCAAAAGTATTTAGAGATATTCATTGTCTTAGTATTGTATTAAAGTATATTAATAATCTCCTAAAATAGGACTAGTTATGATCAATAATCAACTCAATTATGTTAAGAATTAGTACAGAAATATTACACTTTTTGCCCTGGCTGGTGTGGATCAGTGGATTGAATACTGGCCTGCGAACTGAAGGATCACAGGTTCGGTTCCCACTCAGGGCACATGACTAGGTTGCGGGCCAATGTTTCTCTCCCTCCCTTTCTCCCTCCCTTCCCTCCTCTCTAAAAATAAATAAATAAGATCTTAAAAAAGAAGAAATATTACACTTTTAAAATTTTACCAAAAGGTCCACATTAAACGATAACACTGATTTTCGATTTCATGTGGATTATAAGAACCAATTTATATAGACACCAGTTATTTATACAATAACCACATAATTTTCATTTTTTAAATATATATTATTGATTATGCTATACAGCTGTCCTATTTCCCCCCCTTTATTTCCCTTTGCCCTGCACCCACCATCCCACTCCCATTCCCCACATCCCTTGGTTCATGTCCATGGGTCATACATATAAGTTCTTTGGCTTCTCCATTTTCTATACTGTTCTTAACCTCCCCCTGTCCATTTTATGCCTAGCATTTATGCTTCTTATTCCCTGTACCTTTTCCCCCATTCTCCCTGCCCCCCAATGATAATCCTCCATATGATCTCCATTTCCATAATTTTGTTCCTGTTCTAGTTGTTTGCTTGGTTTGTTTTTGTGTTTTTTTAGGCTCAGTTGTTGATAGTTGTTTGTTGTCATTTTACTGTTCATAGTTTTTGTCTTTCATTCTAAATGATAGCTTTGCTGGATAGAATAATCTTGGATATAGGTCCTTGCCTTTCATGACTTTGAATACTTCTTTTTTTTTAACTTGCATCATAATGGGTTTATATTTGTTATAATATTTCTCACCATGAGAGTGTTACCCAGTTAACATAAAGATTTTAACATTATATCTCTTCTCTATTTCACTGTCAATACAGAGTATTTTTTTGCATTAAATCTTTTCTCCATTTCAATGTTAGATACACTGAATACATTTTTTAAACCTTTTCTTCCCAAGATATAAAATTTTTAAGTTTTGACCAACTGTATTTTATATCTAATATCTAGGTACAATATTAACTTGGGAGATAACAAAAATCTAGTAAAATACAGAGAAAAGACTCCTTAACAATGCAGGAGGCAGTGATTACAACTGAATAGTGGCTACTTCCTAGAATGCTAGGCAAATGTCCTTCTCCCAATTTCATTGCTTTGAGAATTCTGAGACTATTAAATATTACTTATGCAAATTTCAGCCATCTGACTTACTTGATCCTCTTTCTAACTTGCAAATACAAATTATAGACTGCAATTTTCAGTGCATTATTTGTTGTGAAAAAACATTTTTCCATGTAACATATATCAATTTATTCCAAATTATACAGAAAATAAGAATGTAAAATTACCCTATTTTTTGTTTCTCAGGAACTTTCAAACACCAAAGCTTAGTTTTTAACCTCAACAGCGCAAATATTTTCAGGGTGAGGTTTGATTCAGGAGGCTCTTCAAAGTCATACCTCTCCATTTCTCTCTCGTGCATATACCCCCAAACAAGCACAAATGCCTGTAATGCAGAGAACCACACATAAAAAGAGAGTGATTGGCCCTGGCTGGTGTAGCTCCGTGAATTGAGCACAGGTTGTGAACCAAAGTGTCTCAGGTTCGTTTCCCAGTCAGGGTACATGCCTAGGTTGCAGGCCATGACCCCCAGCAACCGCACATTGATGTTTCTCTCTCTCTCTCTATCTCACTCCCTTCCCTCTCTAAAAATAAATAAATAAATCTTTTTTTTGAAAAAAGAGTGATTGCATCTCCTGCTTCTACTGCTTCAACAACAGGCAGCACCAAAAGCAGTGAAATGAGGACTAACAACTGTGCTGAAACTGACGTCATGATGTTGGGACCTTGGGATGACTGGATCTTGAACTCTGAAGGTTTTCAAAGAAACAATATATGTATAATTGTATCTGACTTGAAATACTCCCTTCCCAGAACTCAGAAGCTAGGAGGTTCCATGTGACAATGCCTTACAGGAAGCAGCCATTACAGGAATCTGAATACTTCTTTCCAGCCCCTTTTTGCCTGCAAGATTTCTTTGGAGAAATCAGCTAATAGTCTTATGGGAACTCCTTCATAGGTAAATGTCTCCTTTCCTCTTGCTGCTTTTAAGATTCTTTCCTTATCTTTAATCTTGGGTAATGTGATAATGATGTGCCTTGGTGTGTGCTTCCTTGGGTTGAACTTCTTTGGGACTCTCCGAGCTTCCTGGACTTCCTGGAAGTCTATTTCCTTTGCCAGATTGGGGAAGTTCTCCTTCATTATTTTTTCAAATAAGTTTTCAGTTTCTTGCTCTTCCTCTTCTCCTGGCACCCCTATGATTTGGATGTTGGAACATTTAAAGTTGTCCCAGAGGTTCCTAAGCCTCTCCTCATTTTTTTGAATTCTTGTTTCTTCATTCTGTTCTAGTTGAATGTTTATTTGTTCCTTCTGCTCCAAATCATTGATTTGAGTCCCTTCCCTTCACTGTTGGTTCCCTTTATTTCACTTTGCATAGCCTTCACTTTTTCCTCTACTTTGCAACTATACTCAACCATTTCTGTGAGCATCCTGATTACCAGTGTTTTGAACTGTGCACTGATAGGTTAGCTATCTCTTCATCATCTAGTTGTACTTTTTTTCTGGAGCTTTGATCTGTTCTTTCATTTGGATCTTTTTTTTTTTGTCTCAGTGCACCAGTTATGTAGTAAGGGATGGAACCTTAGGTATTCACCAGGGCAGGGCAACCCATATAGCTGGGTAGTGGTGCTGTATGTGGGGGAGGGGTCTAAGAGGGAACAACAAGGCCCACTCAGCTCTCAGCCAGCTTTCAGTCACTTCCCCCACTTCCCACAAGCAAATTGGGCCCTTCTGGTGCTGATTTCCAGGTGGGTGGCTTTGTGTACGCTCTAGGACCCTGTGGATCTCTCCAACAAACTCTCCTGTGAGGCTGGGAGTTTCTCCCACTGTCGCAACCCCCACAGGTTTTTTCCAGTCAGTGGCTTTAAGGCTCTATTTCCCTGCACTGGAACCCTGAGTTGCACAGTCTATCTTGCTTCCCAGTTGTTCCTCCCCATTTACCCTCAAGCAAATGTAGGACCACCCACTCCACCAGCCTCTGCCTCATTCACCCCAGTCCACCAGCCGCAGCCTAGACTCGAGTCCTCTCTGCCCAGCTGCCTGTCTCCACCCCTCCTACCAGTCTGGATGAATGTTTCTTCTTCAACAAAATTGGTTTTAGGACTTCCTTGGTTGTTGGACTTCCATACAGTTAGATATTTTTGGCAGTTCTGGTTGTTTTTTGTTTTTAAATTTATTGTTGTCTTTCTTTTGGTTGTGCGAGGAGGAACAGTGTATCCACCTATGTCTCCATCTTGGCCTAAAGTACAATTTTCACTTTTATATGAATTACAAGAACCAATTTATGTAGACACCATTTGTTTGTATTGTGCAATGGCAACTTTAAAATTTTTTGTAAAATAATTATAGCAGAAACCCTTAGCTTTGTAAGAAAGAGCTGTCATTCATTCCACAGTAACTGCACTATTATTAAATAGAAGGATCACGAAGTCAGACTTTTATTTATTTATTTATTTATCTTTTGTCCCTAAAGAAAACAAAACAAAATCCTCAGGTCACAATCTTGTGTACATTTAAAGTCACCACTAGAGGGTGCAATTTACTTTGGATAAGCTTCTCTACCTTCATATGGCTTAATTAAGTGAGGCATATGGAGTGTGGCATCCTAAAAAGCCATTAGTTTTTAGATTCCTTATCCTCAGCCTTCAATGCTACAAAGGAGTATCTTTTATCCTAGTAATATCTTTCACACTAAATTAGTTTTAGCCTAGGATAATTTTTTAATATTATAGCAGCTGTTATTTTGAAGGTCTACCCATAAAGCACAGGTTGCTTTCTGGGCTGGCTGAGTCTTTTTGTTTACATACAGGGTTTATGATCTAGGGCAGCGATTTTCAACCTTTTTTATCTCATGGCACGCATAAACAAATTACTTAAATTCTACAACACAACAAAAAAATACATTATATTTTTTGCCGATCTGACAAGAATATAGTTATAATTTTGATCCATTTATACTAGATAACACTGTTGTGTTGGCTATTGTCATTTCATTTATGTGACAATCTAAGGGAGAAGAGGTCAGTATCCCTGACTAGTCAGGTACTGCCTGTTTTAACAATTCTTGCAGCTCACCAGTTGAAAATTGCTGCTCCCTAGAGGTCTCAGGGACATGAGGTTCCTCTGTAAATGAGTATATGTCTAGTTCTGATTCAGTTAAAATTAGTTGGCTAAATATAACAGAAAACTCTTGGCTTAAGCAATAGTACTTTATTATCTCTCACTAAAAAAAGTTCACAGATATGCACCTCAAGGCTGTTATGGTAGTTTTGCATCATCAGGAACTTTGGTTCCTACTCTCTATCCCAGCATCCCAGCTCACGGCCTCCAAATTCTGTCATCTTGTGGTCAAGGTGACTGCTGGAGCTCCAGTCACCACATTGGTGTTCTAGGCAGCCAGAAAGCTTTTTCATATAAACTACCTTAGCTTCAGTGGGTCTTCACCTCTGCTCTGGGATATCAGGGCTTGTTGCCCTGACTCAGGGGCTCGATGCTTTTGTTCTACAGAGGATAAAGGTCTGTTTCTCACTTCCTTTCTCCAGGTTCTCACCTAGGGAGATTCCCTGCCTCCAATCTGTCTCATGAGCACCTGGAAGAGGTTGCAAGTGGGTGTGAGGACTCTGCTCATGCCTCAGGCTCTCAGGAGCTCTGTATTGTCAGCTAATCTGAGCTGACCTTTGACACTTGGTTAAAATCTTAGCTGAATGGTTCATGCCCACTTGTTTGGTATTCTACGTCTCTCTCCCTTTCTGTGAACGGGTGACCTAGTGCTTACTTGGAATGGCCTATCTTCTCTTGGATTTTAGGTTACTTGGTTGCCTTACAAATTCAGCTCTCTTATAAATTCATGAAAAGTTATGGTTTTGTCATTTACCTGACTTGTTCTTCTTGTTTGGATGAGAACAATACTCAGTTAGCTTTCAAAATCCTAAGCAGAAACTGAACGTGAGAAGCAATGTGTGAAGAATGGCTGAGAATATTTCAGAGCTATGAAAAGTCATTAGGCCACAAATGCATGCTATCATAAACCAATCAATATAAACAAAAAGAAATCCTCATCTCAGCATATTGCCAAGAAATTGCAGAACACAGATCAGAGAGGAAGCAGCCATCACTTGCAAAGAACTTGAAATAACAGACTATTCAACTGCAACAATGCAACTGCAACAATGCAACAATGCTTAGGGAAAATAACCATTAAACTAAAATGGTACACCTAACAAAGCTCTCAACAGTGGGAGCTGTGTTTGTTGGGATTAAGCTCAGCTATAAAGAATAGAAAAACTCCAAATAAATATAATCTGGACCCATCAGATTGGCAAACACTGAAAAGATTGACAACATTTAGCATTAGCAAGGTTGCGGGCACCCTCATGCACTGCTAGGTGTTAGGAGTCCAGGCTGGTGTAAAGTCCGAAAAGGACAATTTTGACAGCATCAATATAATGCATGTACCCATAAACCCAGCAATCACACTACTAGAAATTTGCCTATAGATGTGTCACAGAGCTACCAGTGTATGTACGGGGAAGTTTTTTGCAGCAGTGTTGGTAAGAGTTTTCTAAACTTTCATAATCATTAAGAAAGTGGTTGAGTACTTGATAATGAAATGCCCTGCTGGTATTAGAAAGAATGAATCAAATTTCTGTGTGTCAGTAAAGAGCAATGTCAAGATCAAGTTCCAGTGAAAAAACTTGCAAGGCTCTATTTATTGCATGGGGGCTTTGGCATAAAAATGCTAAAAGATAGAAATATATATATGCCAGCATACATTTCTATCTCATATATATATATATATGCTCATATATATGTGACTATTATATAAAAAGCTCTCATATATATATATATATATATATATATACACACACACACATATATATATACACACACAACATTTTCTGAAAGGATACATAAAAATTTCTTAACAGTGGTTATTTTTGAAGAGAGACACTAGGGGTTTAGATAAGACAGCATTTTACTTTTCATTTTATACTTCTAAACTACTTGGAATTTTTTTTGTTACCATATATATGCATGTACTTTTTAAATAGACTAGTTTTCAGGTCCACAGCAAAAGCCCAGAGTTCCCATATGTCCCTTGTCGCCACACACCCACAACCTCCTCCAGTAACAAGATCCCCAGGAGAGTGGTTACAGCTGGTAGACCACACATCATAACTACATTATTAACACATCATAATTACCCAAAGTCCATAGTTTACATTAGGATTCACTCTTGGTGTTATACATTCTATGGGTTTGAACAAATGTGCAATGACATTTATCCACCATTACAGTTTCATACAAAATAGTTTCACTGTCCTAACAACCCTCTGTGACCCTGCCTCCCCACTGAGCCCCTGGTCACTGGGAAGATGGACCCTTGAGAGTCCTCCAGGCTCAGCTACCACCTCAGTGAGTGTCCTGTATGATCAGGCCACCCTCATAGGATTAAGTGTGAGCTCCTCCAGCCACTTTTGAAGACACTTCAGGTTTCCTTTTCCCAGCTACCTCTAGTCTCAAGAGGGAGAGGGCAGTCTTGGTGTCACAATGCCTCCAGGAAGGGACCCACCCCTGGTTCCCAAAAACAGATCAGTTTAGCTAAAGACAACTCCCCATTCCCTTCAGGATCAATTTCCTTACTCAGAAAGGTTCCTGAGGACTTCCAGCCATGATGGAGGCATAGATAAACACACTTTGCCACCTCACACAACCAAAAGAACAACAACCAATTTAAAAACAAAAACCAACCACAACTGCCAGAAAATCGAAGT